GTGAATGAAGTCAAAGGCTTCTTGGGAGGGACGACAAAGAGCACCTGCCTTGAAGTCTTTCAAGTCCACTAACAAGCTGTTGTCACCAGAAGGACTCTCATCATGGTGCTCTGTTGCAATTTTGCATTTTTCACAGATGCTGGCAAACTTGATGATTTTGTGGACGATGTAGCCTGCAAGATGGAAGAGAATACATTTCTCAGTTTTTGTGAGGTCAGGTGCTGCTGCTGCTCTGTTCACCGCCATCAGCTGTTCCACTCTGACTGATGGAGTGATTTTTGGCTCCCCTGTGTCCAGGAAGTCTGCCAAAAAGCTACTGTGGTCTTCCTGGTAGCTCCCAGAGCTGATGGTGGTGAGGAACTGCCCCACAGATATGATTCTCAGTGCATGATGGAATTCCACTGCGTTGGGACAGGATTTTTAGACCTCACACAGCTGAATGTATTTTCAAGGCAGTCTTGTGTGAACCTTGATGTTAACACAAACCTGTGTCCTTAGTGTAAGCATCTCCTCTTGTATGGCCAAAATTGATGTTGTTGCCATTATCACCCCTGTTTGAACAGGCTTCAACCTCCCTTTTGACTATCTTTATCCTACGAAACAGATGGACGATGTTCTGGAGGAAGGTGATGGCCTTTTGGTACTCCTCCATCTTGAGCCTGCTCGGGCTGTAATTGGGATGGCGAGATGAAATCAGATCAAAACCAACGATCAACCTGCTCGAGGAACCACGCTGTCGTCAGGTATGACAGAGGGCGGTTTTCTTGCTGCACCATGTATTTCAGCCCAGCACTTGTAGCCTTACTGAACACATTTAGAGCAAGACCAACCTTCATCTTATCAAAGTGACTTGGCTCGATGGCTGGCAAGCTGAAAAGATGGGGAGGCTATTTTAGAAGGCCATCCCTTCCTGAAAAGGTCAATAAGTCCTTAATGGGGACCACAGAAAACCTCGTTAAGGGGGAGGTTCTCTCTGTTAACAACATCCTCAGGAATTATGAAGACCTGCCCACGGACAAGGGCACTTTTTAAAAAATGTTTACCTAGATGTGGGACAGTCGGCATGAAATAAGAGCCTGCCTGTCTGGTTTTGCTGGATGTAGCACCGATGTTTTATTTTGGTCCACCCAAAAGGATTTCCACATGGCTCGGTTACGGAGTCGTCACACTACAAGCTTCAAAAAAAGCTTGGAGCTGGGCGTGTCTGAAGCTTGGGGATTTTTATTCGAGCAACGCGACCAACAACCAATCACATGAATCTCCCGCCCCCGACATACAAAGCAAAAAAAACCCCGGGGATTTTATGCGAGCAATATATATATAACTATATACTATATATATATATATATATAAACTCCCCAAACAGGCAAAAACCTACCATTTTCACCCACTGTCTCTGCCACCTCCCTCCATGACTGGTTCTTCCGGTTTGTATCCCGGTAGGTGAAGAGGGTCTGGTCATACAAAACCGGGTGATTTGCTACGGCGATAATTAGTTTCTCCATCTTTTTTTGAAATATAGAAATGAACGGCGGGATATCTCTCCCAGCTTAGACGCGGTTTGATTGGCTAGGGCTTGAGCTGTCAGATTTTCAGAAACGGGATTTGATTGGCTGGCGCTGGCTACTCCGGCGTCAGAAGTTGAACAATGTTCAACTTCTGACGCCGGAGACGGACCGCTATGCTACCCACAATTCAGTTCGGGTGAAAGAGCGAGGCAACGTGAAACGTCACCCCATTCAACGTGAATGGGCAAAAACGCGTTTTTGAAGCTGTAGTGTGGACGGGCGCCCGTTAGGGCTAGCACTGTAAAAAAATACAAGTTGACTCAACTATAAAATAATTGTAACCCTGTTGCCTTAAAATTTTTGATTAGGGCCAGGAAAGTATCTCAAGTAAATTCAACTTACAATTAAGTTTAGCCAGGAAAGGATATCAAGTCATTTCAACTCTCAATTACATTTCTCCAACTTAAAAAAACAAGTTTCACAGGACTCTAAATAAAGCAAGTAAACCATTTGGTGAACTTCTTTTTTTTTGTCAAATGAACAAATATTTTTGTTGCATCAACAACTTTTCTCAAATTCTCTCAACTCACCCTTAAGTGTCTTAAACTTAGAATAATTAGTTCAATTGATAGACTACCCTAAGTCTCATCAACTTATTCGTTTTAAGCAGTACCAACAAAGTTATTAAAGTGGTTTAAACTTGACTTTATGTTCAAGTGAACATAGAAAAGTTGTCTGGTCTAGCAATCTTAAATTCCAGAAAACTTTTTTGAATTAACAATTGCTCTGGCTACCGAATCCAACATTTTCAAACTGGTGAAGTGAATTTCTGAAACAATTACAATCAAAACATACATTTATTCATAATGTAGTAACTTTGTTGAAAGTGCAGTAGCTCAAGGCGGAACATCAGCAGCACATTATTAATAGAACAACGAACTATGCCTCGAGTATATATGTTTAAAGGCAACGCCTTTCTTTGAAACATCTATCCAACTGCAAACAAGCCAAAACTTAAAAACATGCTACAGTTCAGCAAACAGATATTGTATTGGTTAATATTACGTGGATAAACAATGAAAAGTTGTGCCTTTAACCGAATCTGTATAAACCATGTATAGAGTGCCACAGTGACGCGTCCTAAAACTCGGATGTAAACTCCTTCCGGTTCCTTCGACAAAAAAGCAATGCAATTTCTCCATAGAATTTTGGAAAATAGCTCGAAATAAGGTCTGTGGTTGAGACACATTTAAGAGACGGATCAAATTTTGTTCAGCTGGATAATATCATGTTTACCCTACTTTCATGATTTTCTAATCATAAATCTATCAATCATAAATCTATCGATTATATTTATGATTAGAAAATTATATAAATAGGGTAGACATGTGGAGATTATCCGGCTGAACAAAACGTGATCTGTCTCTTAAACGTGTTTCAACCACAGACCTTATTTCGAGCTATTTTCCAAAATCCTATGGAGAAATTGCATTGCTTTTTGTCGAAGGAACCATGTGCAGCTTACTTCCGGGTTTTAGGATGCATCACTGTGGCACTCTATACTTGACAGATATATTATCATTTCATAAAATAACAAGCTAACATATAATTCCAAAATTAACAACAGAGGGAAAATCCAGCACCCTGTTTAAATGGAAATTGTTAAACATTTGTAATGCAGTTTAGCTGGAACAGAACAAGTCTTGCTGGCTGCCTTGGAGTTGTGCAGCACATCAAATAACCACATTAAATAACCTTAAGGTGGAACCCAGACAGGGAAGGGAACCACATCTCTATATTGTGCCCTGAAGCAATTTGTTTCGCAGTCCATGAGCCCGAGCAGAGCAGGTGCCTCCCCCAATGTCCATGATTACCTTCTGAATGACCTCAAAGGTATTTTTCAGTCCCTTAGGATAATCAATGTTGAGGCTGTAAAGTATGCCCATCAGCACAGCAAAGCCGGTTGGTACATCTCGCAGCTTGCGCAAAACAATGCGCCCCTCCAGGATCACAGCAACATCCGCAATATTCCTTGGTAGGGGCTGCCGGCTCCCGTTCTTCTGTGACGATCAGTACGCCAACATCCACTTCCGTTTACAGCTGCCGCGCGCCTCTGAGTCAGTGACCTGAATTATATCAGAAAACATTGAATAACTAATCAATCAATCAACAACTTTATTAAATCACGCGAGGGGCAATTGGTTGTGAGCAGCTTATGTCATGTACAGGGAGGGAACATACAGGAAGAAAAACACACAGATAGATACACCCGGGGGCAGAGATGTGATCATTCCAATTTACACGATAAGTAGTTTCACATAGCATCACAATAAATAAATAAATAAATAGTCCAAGTTAAAAAAACCTACCAAGAATGTATAAGTTTGAGTGCAGAGGGGATGAATGATTTTGAAAAGCGATTAGTCTTAAGAGCAGGTAGAGCATATCTACGCCCTGATGGCAACAGATGAAATTCATCTGCAAGAACATGGCCTGTCAAGGTGGGTGCTACATTAACACTAAGGAACTCATCTCTTATTAAGTTTGAAACGTACCTCGGCAGAACTTGATGAAGTTGGAGGGATCCTTCATGAAATATGGCAAGTCCAAGAAGTGCTGCAGACCTTCTGTTCTGGTTGGAGTTCTGCAAAAACATCAAAACAGGCATCAAGAAAATAAACTAGAAAGACCAGGGGCCTGTACTACGAAGCAGGATTGAGGTTAGCGAGGTCACTTCAGGTTTAACCCTGGGTTTCTGTACTACGAAGGTGGTTCACTTCTTACTGGGATAGATCAACGCGGTAACTTATGCTGAATGCCTAACCTGCTCCGGAGCAGGTTATGTTCGTGATATCAGATCAACTCGTACAAAAGCGCCGCCTACTGACCAATCACAGCATGGTGCTCGCAGATCGTAAGAACCAAGAAGTTAAATCATAAACCCGGCTAAAAGCAACACAGTTTAAACGGACAAATGCAGAAAGGACAGCTGGCAAAATATCACCGACTGTGTGAATGCTAAATGAATAGGCTTATATATCAACTGGCCCACCTAGAGCAACGGATAGATCTGACTATATTACATGTGATCTGTTACATTAATGTGTTGCTTGGATGTGTTTTTATGGCATTGTAAAGATCCAAAAGTCAACATTATTGTAAAAAAGATAGATGTATTAATTTTCATCATAGACAAACATGTTTTTATCAAAACAAAATATTCTGCTTCAATCCATATTTATTAGCTAGTCTTTCAAAAACTAAAAATGTTCACCGAGATAAAAAATAAAAGAGTTTGGTCTCCGGCATGTAAAGACATCACTGTATTAACGGGGCGGTCTAGCAGCAATCTAACAGCAACTTCTTGACTTACTTCAGACTCCAGCAGACGGTGAATCTTTGTGTCGCGTCTCTCTCAGTGCTTTGTACAACTCGAGCAGTCTTGGCAAATGCCGGTCGAGTCCAGAAAGAAAGGACTTGGGGAGGTCAGCAAGCCACAAGACGCGTGAACTCAGCAGCAATCTGTAAGGGACCAAAACAGAACCCCAATATTAAAACATTCAGAAGAATAGATTGCTCTCCTGTTCGTCCCTGACCCAAGATTGGACAGGGAGCGGCCCCTGCAGACAACCCACTGCTCCTTGGCTGCCCTTGGACGAAGGACAGCACAGATGGGTGAAAAGCAGAGCACATTTCATTGTACATGTGTTTTTGTGTTGATGTGTCGCCTCCCACTGCACGCAGTGTGTTGATGTGTCAAAGCTGTATGACAAATAGGGCTGCAACAAACGACTAATTTGATAATCGATTAATCTATCGATTAATGAAACGATTAATCGATTAATCGGCTCGTTAAGGTTTTAACTGTACTACTACTTATATCGATACTGCTTATCGATCCGGTCCTTTTAACGATAGTAGGCTATTAACGGTTCTTTTGACAAGAAATAAGGTAAACTAACTAAACAAATTGTGAACAAAACTAACATTGCTTTTTATTTAAATTAAATAAATAATATTTCACATCAAAAAGAAACAACAATGTTTTAACAATCATATTAAATAATGTGATGACAGAACTGTAAACAGAATAGCTGAAACTTTAACAAAATAAATAACTCTGTTACCTCTAATCATTAACCCATGTTTTTATAACTGAGTTAACTCCATGTGTTGCTGCTAGCATACATAACACCTGACGTGGAAAACGTTACCCTTAACATTATAAACTGTTATTGCACTTTTGGTACGAGCATTGTTCACATCGAGACGGCTAAAGTTTAACCACACTTCGGAGCGCGTTCTCTCCGCCATCTCCTCCGTGTGTGTGTTGCATGCATGTAGCCACTGCGTGTGTGTAAACTGCCGCCCGCCCCCTCGCAAGCAGGCGGGGGAGAGATCTCTCGTCTGAATTGGGGAAGATCGAAAATACATTATAGACGCATTTTGTAGTCATATTGCATATTAGAAACGGAGTTGGCGACACTAAGACTGCGATATAATGTTTATGTAGCAATAATACATATGACATATGTTTTTAAATGTCTCCTGTATCGATAAAAAAAGAGCGATAACGTTGGAGTTTAACCGGGTGTGTAGAACACATGTGATGACGTCACCAACGAATCGACGACTGAATTAGTTGCCAACTAATTTGGTAATCGATTAAGTCGATTAGTTGTTGCACCCCTAATGACAAATAACAATTCTTTAAAATTATTCTTCAATTATAAAGAGGGGGTGTACATGTGAAAGCTTTATACTCACTTGTCTTTCTGAAAACAATGCTGGCCATCTGCTTTCAACCTCCGCCACACGCAGCTCTACATGATCACCGCCGCAGCTCCTCCTGTTGTGAGGGACCGTTGAGCGGAACACACACACACACACAAGTTAGACCTAACACACTTAACTATTTTTATCTACCTCTGGAACAAGCTAAACTAGTTATAAATATGTTTATTCGTCACTCATTACCGGATTAGCGAGCTGCATGAGTCTGAAACTGACTGGCTGTCGGAAGAGAGAGGAAAATAGAGCCTCCGTTTCTCCCGTGTTATTATCCAAAGTGAATCTAAACTTTTGAATGATGTACTTCATCTATAAGTAGTTAGTTTGAATGTAATAATGTGTTGTTTTGTTTGATCGGAGCATCCCTAGTAAACGCCATAGCAACCCCACCCAGTTAACCGTTGGTCATTTTGAAAGTAGCTGGCCAGGTGAAAAAGTTTGAGAACCACTGCCCTATACAAATTCCTAGTATGTGTGAAGCATGTACATGGCCAATACAGATGTTGAATCTTGAATATATCCCAGGAAACTAAACCATTCTGAAACCCCCATGCACATTTTGGCTCTTGCAACGACTGAATTCACTTGCTAGCTAACGTTAGCTAGCTACACTAACTAAGAGGGGAAACACGGCCACCGTGGCTAGTTAGGTTTAGCCTCTAATAAACGTTATACATATATAGGTACATTTGAACATTAAACTCGGAAAAAAGCAATTATTAACTCACCTTTTGTAATTCTTCTTCTAATTCTTCACAATTTCAACCGCACCGCGCAGGCTTAGTTTTCAATTTGTTCCATGAGGTGAGGGAGGATGCTGGATGCACGGGTTGACACACACAATTTTGCAGGGGCAGTGTTCTGCGCATGTGCAAAAGCTGAGCAAACTCATCATTCTGAATTGAGTGTACTATTTTTATTTCACAGACAAGTTGAATGGATTCAAACTTGACGTTTCTAGTTGTCTCAACTTTTTGGCCAAATGTAGGTGACCTGACTCACATAAATGAGTTAAAGGAACTACAATCCAAAATATTTTTTACAGTGTACCCATGTCGGTGGTGACATCAAGCACATGTAGCCCTATGGATGCTGCCCTCTGTATTATATCAATAATGATTGGCCTGTACTCTGCTCCATTGGTAGAATTGCCAGTGTAATGATATGCCACTACTTGCTTCCACCGTGTTGTGTTTCCAGCCAACATAAACACACAAGCATGTGTTGCCACCCCTGTGTGACCTGGTAAAGTCACATCACCGTACAGTTTGCCTGTAATCATGTCTAACTCCACACTTGGTGTGATTGCCATTTCATCCAAGGTCAACACACACTCCCTTTCAAGGTCTGTCAATCTATCTGCCTTCAATTTTAGGAAATTAAAGACCTCTGTCAACACACCAGGCTCAAACGTAACACATTGCATCCTTCTTTGCAGTGTCCTTATTCCTGGAAGGGGAATCTTCAATTCCTGCAGAGTTTTGTAACCCGTTGGTCCGCTCGCAAAGCACATTTTTAAAGCCTTCTTAATTGTCTCATTGCTCCATTTCATCCCCTTTGTGGTGAGTCTGCCTAATGCCTTCAGTTGGTCTTTTGAAAACGTTTTCTTATATTTCTTGTCCCTAATTAGGGCCCGAGCACGGAGCACTAGGACCCAACGGCGTCCTAGCACGAAGTGCGAGGAACCTATTGGTGGAATTATTATTTTTCTGCTGGCGTTTCCTGTTTTTGAGGCTTTTAGGACGCTGACAAAGTTTTATAATTTTGCACGGACGCCAGGACTGGTGAAAAATACAATATTCTGGAGTCAATGGGTTAAATATTCCAACGTGCTCGCTAGCGCCACATATTCGGGTGGATCTGCTCTACAAATAATCCTCTTGGAACCCTAAGCTCCGCCTACATTTTTTAAAATTTAAATTAGCATAATGTTCAAAACAGTTAAATATTCACTTAAATTTCAATTTTCAGTTTTTCAACACCAAACTTCGTATACAGCATCGGTGGCGGGTCAGACACATTACCGTAGAAAATGAGCATGTTAGGACGATAAATATTGCCGCCGTCAATCAAAACGTACACGCAATAAGGCGGGGCTTAGAAATAAATGCTCATAAATCATCAACAATGTATCCAAACATCACACATTTTGGTAGATAGGTTCAATCTGTGTTGGGGAATAGGCACACCAAATAATTTATATTTTGGACTATAGAGGGTGCCAAAAACACCACCAATTTATAACTCAAGAACGGATTGACGAATCTTTTTATTTATTTTTTACACATACTCTGGGGGTGACTACGAACTGAGATATAAAGTGTCGCAACAAATCCAGAATGTGGGCGTGGCCTATACTTTTTTTTTAAATTGCGATAGCATAAAATGAGCTTCGGACGCAAAACTTGGAACACACGTCAGAGCCCACAACCTTTTCGAGAATGTAAAAAAAAAACCGTAATCTTTCAAAAAAACTGCTCACTAGCGCCCTCTATTGTGTGGTAGTCACATATAGTTTCTCAGAACTTCACGAATTTTGGCACAGACATTCCTCATGGAATTGCGGACATATTTGTAAATAGATTCCATTAGCCCCGCCCCCCAGGAAGTCGGCCATTTTGAAAGATGGGCCTTTTTCATGCATTTTAAGCACATTCTTGCGAACTCCTCCTAGGGGAATGATTGGAAAAATTCCAGTCCAACACAAGTTCAGCCCCTATCCAATATGATGCTAAATTGAGAAGAACATTTTTGATAGCTCAATCGTGGAGGTCGTAAGCGAACAGCGAATACACAATTTGACGATTTACATGTCGCAAATTACTCAACTACTCGGATATAGTTATTCCGATATTCATGAAACGCTGTATACATATTGCTATTATGATTGCACACATATTTCAAATTGCCTTCCATTAGCCCCGCCCCCCAGGAAGTCGGCCATTTTGAAAAATGTGCGTTTTTCATGCATTTTTAGCACATTCTTGCAAACTCCTCCTAGGGCAGGGGTCGGCAACAGGCGGACCGCGGTCCGGATCCGGACCCAGACGCCGACCTATACGGACCCGGAGCTATAATCAAAACATTAATAGGGGATTTTTCGGCCCCTCCCGTTTTTTAACGCTGATTTGGGTGACTTGTGTAATTCGTGGAGAACCGAAGAGTTTTCGTTTTGGGGGTGGGGGGGGGGAGTCCGTCCGTCAGTCTGACTGACGGACAACTTCTCACTTCAAAAAAGAAGAAGAAATCTAGACCGCAAAAATAATTAAACAAGCGAGTACCTGTTTTTTCCTGGCCAAGGAGAGGTTCCTTGAACACAACACGAGCGTAACGTGTCTTCACGTGGTATATGTCTCGTCTGAAAGGAGTGCTGACACCAGAACGCCGCTCCAGCCCTTCAAATATTGCAATACCCATAAGGAGCCGTACACATGCCGCAGTGTTTGCGTGGCTGTGTCTTTAGTTGTAAGCACAGTGGCGATCTGTTGTTATTAGCATCTGGTTAGCTAGCTATGCTAACAAATTTAAAGAGCTTTTCTACAACCAGGTGGAAGAGAGCTCTTTCCTGAGAGGCTCAAATAACCTCAGCTCAGTGAGGTTAAGGCACACCTTGATATGATCAATATAGTTATTAATGAGACTAAATGAAAAACAGGTATAAAATACTATATGACAGTAACAAAAAAGTTGTTAAAATAACAAGAATAGAGTTTAAAATGGGAGTGATTTGTAAAATATCCAAAAAGAAAAATATGCTTACAGTTCTGTTTCATATGGGCGTTGAGAGATGTATCCATAGATCTCTTAATGTTGCTCTCAAAGTGCACCAGATTGATGTTTTTAACTTCAATATTTAAAAACAAATCTTCCCGGGGGATCATGCCCCCGGACCCCCCTAGAGGAGGTCCCCCCCAACTTAAATCATGTTCACATGGATAGGATACTAAATACATTTGCACACATCTTGTGTCCATATCTTTCTGTTTTGGTGGTCATGCCACACCGTGCACATGCATGCATACGTGAGTCATGGTGAGATATCTGGATTAAGAGGTTGCTTTTTCTTTGCACAGCATGAAAGAAAGGCCAAATGAATGGGCTGTGATTTTAGTTTTTTTAAGCAGAGGTTGAGTTCAATAATTTGTACGACCCTCAGAGGATGTTGTAAAAATTGAAAGGAAAAAGGTTCCCCACCCCTGCTGTAAATAATAATAAAAACCCTCGATTTATAACTTAACATCTCTGTCTCCTATTGATCTGAGTATATTATAAAGAATAGCCAGTTAATTGAAGCATTATAGCACAGGCCTTTGTCAGATGGTATATTACGCTGTTTTTTTCTGCTTCGAATAGTTCTCTCTTTTTTCACCATACCTGTGTTTGCATCACTGTAACCAATGAGCACCTGCATGTGTATGAGAATAGCCCTGACTCCATGTCGGCCCAGATTTACAAACTCCTGGCAGGACAAGCTCAAGCTCAATTCTTACACTGAATTTAAAAAAAGTGAGTGAGGGACTGCAATATAAGAGGGAAAGAAAGAGAAACTTTAAAACTGTTAAATTGTTATGATGTGTAAAGACTGATATTGTTCTATAATCGTCTGAAACTGTTAAGTCATGATGTGAAACGGTTAACAAAGAAAAAGGGAAACTCAAGCTGCTGCTACACTTTATTTTATTTATCTAAAATTAAGCACTTTTAAGATGCACATATTTTCAAAAGCTATTTTATTTATTTTCTCTATTTTATTTGTAAATGCAGCCCAAGAGGAACATTACACATATCCACAGTATTTACTGTATATCTGTATAGTTCAATGTTCATTGACAATAAATATTGTTGTTTTTGAATTGTACTTTCTTTATTTGATTGGCAGTCAGTTGTTGATTACATGCAGACGTTGATAAAGCTACAGGTCACTTCAATATATATCACACTAATTCATGAAGCAAGTTAGACATTTTGATGTTCCGGACCTTTGCATGAGGAGATTTTCTCTAACTGGACCTCGTTGAATTTTAGTTGAATACCCATGTCCTAGGGGAATGATCGGAAAAATTCCAATGCAGGACAAGTTCAGCCCCTATCCAATATGATACTTAATTGCGGAGCACATTTTTGAAAAATCACTCGTGGAGGTCGTAAGCTAACAGCTAATACACCATTTTTAACGATTTACATGTCGCAAATTACTCCAAACTACTCGCATATAGTTTTTCCCATATTCACGAAACGCTGTATATACATTACTATTATGATTGCACACATATTTCAAATTGCATTTCATTAGCCCCGCCCCCGAGAAAGTTGGCTATTTTGAAAGATTTGCGTTTTTAATACATTTTAAGCATATCTTTGCTAACTCTTCCTGGGGAAGTGATCGGAAAAATTCCAATCCAGGACAAGTTCAGCCCCTATCCAATATCATGCTAAATTGCGAAGAAATGTTTTGAGAGCTCAATCATGGAGGTCACAAGCTAACAGCGAATACACCATTTTTGACGATTTACATGTCGCAAATTACTCCAAACTACTCGCATATAGTTTTTTCCGATATTCACAAAACGCTGTATGCACATTGCTATTATGATTGCGGACATATTTCAAATTTGCTTTTATCAGCCCCGCCCTCCAGAAAGTGGGTCATTTCACAAAATGTGTGTTTCTCATGCATTTTAAGGACATTTCTGCAAACTCCTCATAGGGGAATGATCGGAAAAATTCCAATCCAGGACAACTTCAGCGCATATCCAATGTCATGCTACATTGAGAAGGAATAGTCCTTCGCTCAAACGGGGAGCTTGTAGGCTAACGGAGAATGTACCATTTTTGACCAATTATATGTCAGATAAGCTACTGAGACCTGCCTGTTTGCCTGGCACATCAACTCTCACACACACACACA